GTCGCTGCATCTTCCAGTAACGGCTGATATTCAGGCTGGTCATTGATGTACCAGTGACGGCCGCCATCAGACGCTAAATCCAAATCAGTGGCCCTCTTACCGCGACCACGAAAGGATGAAAGCAAATCATTGGAAACAATGCCACTCTCACGGAACAACTGTGTGGCTTGTTTGGCCTTTGCTTGGACTTCAGCTTTGCTGTATCCACCGCTTTGGGCCCGTCTATACATGTTTGAATACACATTCGAAGCGGTCACCCAGATTGGTGGGCGAGAAAAAACCTGCAGGTGATGGCTGGGCCACTTCAGCCACTTCCGGTTCCACCAATGGTTGCACGGGAGCATCCACAGGGGCTTTTGCAACAGCAGCCTTGCCTTTGCGAGCCCTCTTCTTCGGCGGATTTCTTGTTTGGTTGGATTCTTCCAAATTCTCCTCCACAACCATCTCATTTCCCTTTGCCGCTCGGGTTGAAGATCTCTTGGCCTTTGTTCTGCGCTTCCGTGTCTTCGCTCCAGCTTCCTCTCCAGCTGACCTTTCCATGGGAAGCTCCTCCAGATCATGAAGCGACTTCATCTCAGCTGCCATCTCACATGGTGCTGACATTCCTGCTTCGCCACCCATTGCAGACTGTCCCTTGCCCTTCTTGCCTTTCTTGGCACGACCTTTTCCACCTTTTCCCTTCTTTCCACCAGCTCGTTTCCCCTTGCCCTTGCCCTTCTTGCCGTTCTTGTTTTTCTTGACCTTCTTGGCATGAGTGTTCTCCATGGACTCACCCTCCACGGCCGAGTCGGTCAAAACCTTTGCCTTTGGCTTTCGACCTCTCTTCTTGAGTTGATTCCCATAGACTGGAGGCTCTGCGCGTGCAAGCTCTTCATAAAGGGCAGGGTCCATCGGGAGATGACCACCAACAGGTTCCTTAGAAATGATAGGTTTAGTGTACAAACGATATAATATTTGCATGCTTGCAGAATGCATTCATATAGCACGTGCACATATGTTTTTTCTTTAAATAAGCTAGGGAACTCTCGTCTCAACGCAGGGTGTTGCCACTTCAGCTGCATGACACGGTGTTGTCACTTCCTGCAGAGGAAACACTGTCGACACATGTTTCACTATGTGTTTTTCATATAGAAACACATACAGCTGTCATGTGCATAAACAATGAGACTTTGTCCTGAACGGGGACCGTGGCTGGCATCATAGCCTGCTCCTCTCCGGTTGTGTTGGCATCTGCCTTAGGATCCTTCGAAGCATCATACGTCAAAGTTCGAGGCCTCAATGGTGACCTGTGTTCAGCGACAGCTCTAAAGATAGCTTCCCCACCAACTAAAACGATGTTGCGGTCAGTCGGCTTGTTCCGTGCTTTCTGGAGGGCTGGATCATTGGGTAAAGTTGTCCCCTCCTCTGACTCACTGTCATCAACAATGACCCAAGCACCTGCATCAGACTTTGGATGAGTGTGTGCATCAAGCTGTTCACCGGCTTGGTGCTGCTCTAGTGCCTGATCTTCTTTGTGCTCGACCATTGTGTCTACATAGTCGGAAGGAGTAGAGGCAATCATCTGAGAATGGTCCCGCTGAGACTCGACCACTGGCTGTTCAGGATTCACAGATTCTTCTGTGACCACGGCCTGAGTCTCTTCATGCTGTGCTTGGACTACAGGCTTTGGCGCACCCACAACCTGAGTATCTTCCCATTGTGACTCATGGGCCGCTGAGTCTGGAAGATGGAAAGGCGGCTCAGGTGCTGTCACAGCCAAAGTCTCTATCCACTGTGAATCATGTTCCATCTCAACGTCCAGCAAGGTTGAAGGCACCTGATCAGGTTCCATCTCAACGTCCAGCAAGGTTGAAGGCACCTGATCAGGTGCATCAGGCTGCTGGCGCTCAGCATGTTGGCCATCCTGTGGTGTCTCTTGCGGTGTCACGATCACATCATCACCGGCCAGGACATTGGTAGACACCACGATACCTTAGCACATAATCAAAATGGTTTTGTACGTATAAGCTGTGTGCATGCATATCAATTGTAACCGCAGACAAAGCTACCTGCAGGGTGATACAAATACACAATTTGAAGATCATCATCGTCATCGGAGTTGTTGGTGCAAGGTGTCAAGATCTTCTTCTTTGGTCTGGCTTTTCTGTCGTTTTTTCTGCATCACGCGTATCAGTTTTTGTGCCACCTGACATGCAGTGTTAATGTTTATAACTTAAACGCGTGCACATGCACATCATATGACATTTGTTTTTCTTAGATGTCTCAATGTAGTCTGGCCTCACCCTTGGTGTTGCGGGCAACAGCCTTTCTCCAGTAACGGCGTGCATACGAGAGTAAGCCATACAATGTGTATGCCTGCAACAAAGCACACAAACATCATGATGGAACACAGAAAAATATAGAATAAAAGCTCAAAAGACACGTCACATCAATATCTTCAACACATGCATCATGTAGCCTCGCTTGTGTACCAGCGCTGGCGATCCTTCTTTGTTTTGCGATTGCTCAAGTTGTAATCGCTCTGGATGTCCAACTTTTCAAAGATGCCCACAAGAAAGGTAATTGAATGTTCTCCTTCCACATTTTGTATATATGCACGTGACAATTCTGCACTATAACACATCATGCAGAACTAAATACATTGCGTGCACAATATGACAAACGACCCGCCTTCTGGTGATAACCGGTAGAAGTCTATGACAAGCTCTAGGTATCGCTCCAAGTCAGACATCTTAACGTGCTGGTAGTCTACTTTTGGAAACAAGGTCTGCTGATCGACGTCGTCAGCAGCAGCGCAGTCTAAGAATGCTGACTGAGGCAAGTGGATTTTGACAATGCCTAAGTGAATGATAACAAGATAGCACAACATCAACAAATATATGCATGTGCACGGTTGCACATTACATTGTATAGTTCATGCAGCAAAGATGCCAAGGGCTGCATCTTCTTTACCATGCAAGCTCGACATAGCTTGCCCGCAAAGCACTAGAGTAGACACAACTAAACAGAGTCAAAAAGTGCTGCACGATGCACACTCATGCTCGACATCATCATGTGACAAAGCTTCACACAAGAGTATGTTATTGTTGTGCACATGTGATTGATCGACTTTGCCTCGTCGTGGTGGCGGTCTGTGAGGCATCCAGCCGACTGCAGAGATCGCTATCCATGATGCCGCGACAGAGCTCGCGTATATGTGCAAAAAGACGAGTGCAATCCATGGTT